ACGAAAATTATTATTTTTGTGAACTATTAGTACTTAAGTATGTAAATTTTCTCTTCTCGCCTTCTGTCGATACACGTGGTCCTTCTCGAAACTTGTTTCAATGTTGCCAGATCGCGACGCTTCTGCTTCTGATGTTGCCGAATGTTTTTCCCTTATTCCATACTTGCTTTATTCTTCATAAGTGCTTAGCACCATATAAGGAAATTTATAAAGACCTTTTAACTAGAAGCAAGCAATCTAAAATTACATACATTTTGCAAAAGGTAAAGCATGGATCTGAAGATAATGCAGAAAAATGCTCAGAGGATAAGGATAACTTGCCAAAAAGAAAACGCTCTCGGTTAATTAATAGTGTTTTTAGTGATGACGAAGAAAACATTGTTTAATTTATATTAATATGTATCACTTAAAAAAAATTTTAATGAAGATATTTATCTTAATTATGAAAATATACTAGCATGTTTTTTAATTTTTGGAACCTAACCCTCCTTTTCGTATTAGTTCTTTGTTTCGTATAACACGGCAATTTTTTGGAACGTAACTACCGTGTTACCTGTACGGGGGTTACCTGTATTGCTTTAAAACAATATTAACTTTTACAAGAGATTAATAAATATCTTACCTTACAATAAAATTTAAAACCTTGTAAAATATTGTATACTGATTTATATAACTTTAAAGGCAAATTACTAAACATTTTTTTAAAAATATCAATAAAGACACAGTTTAAATTCATAATAATCTCATGGCACTTTTAAAACATTTAGCTGACAAAATTACACATTCATTTGCAAATTTACTAGTCTTTTATTTATGATGTCTGCTTCCAATTTACTCTCTTTTCTGTTTCATTCCCCTAGTTTAAAGTTATATAAATGTACAATATTTTACAAAATTTTATTTTATTGTAAGGAAAATATTTATTAACCTCTTGTTGTAAAAGTTAGTGAATATTGTTTTAAAGCAATAAATGTAATTAATATAATTTACAAAATGTTAGAATAACAATTGTAAAATCAACTGAAGAGGAACTAAAAAGTCCAAAATGCATTTTGATTTCAATAAAGGATAATGTAAGGAGTAACAGCAGTCTTCTGTGTCTAACCTTTGTGACAAATTAGTTTAAAAAATTAGTTAAAACAGCCAATTAAAAAAAAAAAAAATTACAGCTTTTATTCAATAGATTTATGAAAGAAAAACAAATAATTCAATTATTATTAAATTCAATCAATCACATCTACGAATCAAAAATTATTCTGTTATGAGATGATCAACCAAATATTCATATTCTGTAACACAAAAAAGCTTCAGATAAGAATATTACATTTAGATGTTTTGGAATCAATGCATTAAATAATGAAAACTATAATCCAAATTTTTCAAATATACTATAGTTTCCAAAATTCTTATGTTTTCACATATTATTAAACAATTTTATCACAACTGAATATAATTTGAATTATTGAGTAATTCAAACCCACTATTATTCGTTTTAAAATAGGTTTTTAAATTAGTATCAAAAACATACAATTTGAGTTTCTTTAGTATAAATTTGGATAGTTTTAAGCCAGTATATTTCATCTCTCAAAAATATAAAACAGCATATATCCAGATTTATAGGATAGAGATTTCACAATATGCACATGTTCTGTAATCTCACTGGTGCATGGGTGAAGTTGTCATTTTTTTACACTAAGAACAGAACTTATGCAACTTCATTTAACAAATTTAAAATGATTAAAGGAGTGGAAAAGAAACTAAAGAAAAAAGGTGTGATATTGTCAAAGAACACAGATTACTAAAGAATGCTAATAATTTACCATTGGTAATTTGAACTTTTGGATTTGCCTTGATGCTTGAACTACAGACTTGACTAGTAACTTTAACTAACTGAAAATCACAATAATTAAGATAAATTTGCATTTTTATAGTTCTCTCTCAATATTATAATATTGTTTAGGATACAACATTTAAGATTACACTTTAATTAAAATCCATTTTTCAAAAATAACAGATACCAAATTAATCAATAATTTGACTACTAACATTTATGCTCATCAAAAAAGCTTTTATATTTTTTAATTTCAGCATAACCAAATATCTATGTATACAAAATACACTAAGATGAAATTTATTTCCAATTCATTAAAGTTTCGCATAAGAATTAAATCTACAATTCATACGTCACTTTGAAGTTATTTGACATAGATGAGATCTATTGCATCAATTTTACTACTCAATTTCATTTAAAGTAATGAAATTAAAAGTAAAGAGTGAAGTAAATGAAAGTAAAGAGCAAAAATGTGTCCAAGTTTGCTCTTGCCGTAGTAGCGCTTGCCATAGTGGCACTCCTCCCTGCCATTCCAGCTGTTAAACTTATCCCCATCCAGTATAAAAACATTTCTGAAAATAACTTTGAGTTAACATTCTTTTCTCCATTCCAAATTACTTTTAATTTTCATTAATTTCCAATTATTTTTTAATTTTACTATTAACAGAAAGACTACTGTAAATTACATTTTGGTCAGAATGACCAACCTCATTTTCCTTTGAATAATTCCTCAGGTCTTGAATAACTTTGAATAACTTCAGGTCTACATGAAAATCTTTTCATGTAGACCTGAAGTTTTGCAATAAGTTTGTATAAACAAAAGTTTGAAGACAAATGTTTTCGATCTAGTTGAAATCTTCCTCAGGTCATGTAGATCTGAGGAAGATTTCAACTAGATCAAAAACATTTGTCTTCAAACTTTTGTCTATCATTAAAATATAGTGGAAATGAAAAAAAGGCTCTAAGCTGAATTAGGTTTTTATTAGTATTACTTTCCAGTCTAATTTGTTGTGAAGTTATTTCTCAGAAAGTTTGAATANGATTCTTATTCTTACTTTGACGATATGAGACAAAGATACAATGCGGAAGGTAATAAAATTTTTAACAATTTATTAAATATCATTACATATTTATACATTTAAAATTATTCAGTATAATTAAAATAACTTAAAAACTAAAACAATGAAATTTGATCCATAAATAAGACTTTTTCACTAAGTTTTATTTCGTGTGTTCATCAAACAATGGTGCCTTAGTCTCACAGCACTGTACAGTTACATGTAAATAAAAATTTTTTTAAATCAAAAAATGCTGGAGGAAGGATACAGATAAATATAATTATATTTTTATTTAAAACTAAACATTGAATGCCGTGATATCACCAAAGGCCTCAATGCAGAATAGTGTGGGCTTATTTTCACAATTTGTAAATGTGAATCTCTACCCTCTAATTTTGTTCAAATATGTATAGAAAAATTTGTGCCAAAAATCTACTCTATTGGTGAATATTTACTGGTAGCTTAATGTCACTGAAGTTTTATTGGTTCCAAATAGTAAGGATGAGCATAAGCATATGCCAATCACAAGCTTGAACCACAATATATACATTTTAGTGCAACAGTTTGCAAAACTGTAGTTGGTCATCTCAATAAATAAACTATTAAATTAATCACACATTAGTTACATGACATTCCCACAAAATTAATTTCTGTCACGACTTGTGATCATTATTTCACTGACATCATCAAGTCTTGTGGCAAATGTTTTCCCCTGTTTCTGGTTGAGGCCAGCACCTGGAGCCATGTACCATGCACGCTGGCTATCAAAGATAACTTACAGTTTGAAGGTGTTGTTTAAGGGTTGTTTAAGGGCCAATTCCACTTAACAAAAAAAGAACAGGATGTGTGTCTTTGCTGCACATGTGTACTTGAAACTCAGGATTTCAGTTCCATTGGTAGCCAGTTCTCCTAACAATGACCTTCATCTTCTGAAATCACTTCTTGAATACTCGGAAATCAACATGACAATATCCAAGGCATCATCTCTCAAATTTTCTAAACACTTATGGTATTTGTCACCAGATTTGGTTGCTTTAGCTTTTTTCGACAACCATGTAAGTTCTGCTACAAAGAGGCTAATGATTACAGCAATGCAAAAAGATGACGACACTGAACAGGGTCACACTAAATGAATCACTGTTGACCTGGACACATTTATGGGAAAAAATCTTAAGGACTTTATATCTGAGAAGTCATGGACTCTGTTTGAATTAATGGAACTTCTAGATACATTTCTACTATAGATCCTGACCTGTGGAAAGATAGAGAGGACTATCAGAAGGCTGCAGACTCAGTACATGCCATTAAAGTTGTTAACGACCATGTAGAATGCATAGTCGCAGGAATTCAGTGGCCTAATGACTCATGATGAATTACAACTTCAGTATTTGTTGCAAGTTGTTCAACAGGCTTATCCAGACAGCAAGAAAGAGACACTCTCTGTCTCTATCAAAATAAACTGATAAAGTTGCATTGAATGTATTGTACTGAAAATTTCAAATTTTGTGAATTGTGCCATTTTAAAAATCTTTTTGTTGCATTTTTGGTTTGTAATCCATCAAGTTTTTGAATATTGTAGAGTCTACATGACTATTTAATTTGTCTGTAATTGTCCAAAAAAGTGAAACAAGACTTGTTGTGGTAAAATAGACTTGTTTCACTTTTTTGGACAATTACAGACAAATTAAATAGTCATGTAGACTCTACAATATTCAAAAACTTGATGGATTACAAACCAAAAGTGCAACAAAAAGATTTTTAAAATGGCACAATTCACAAAATTTGAAAGTTTCAGTACAATGTTCAATGCAACTTTATCAGTTTATTTTGATAGAGGCAGCGTTTTCATTTGTCATAAATTGCTCTTTTTATAAACTTTGTGGTCATCGAGCTACCTCTAAATATTAATATATCAAGTTCAAATTTTTTCTGTAGTAATTTGAGACCAGTTGGAATAGTTCTGGAGGATAGGACCACAAAAAAGTAGTTCAATTTATTTTTTCCCTATTTTAAGCACCACACTAATAATTATATTGTTAAAAGCTTTGTTTAATGTTTAAAATCATAGCTAATTGAGATTTAATAACTATTTACAAATTATATATACAAACTTTTAAATGGGCAAGATGATATTCCAGCAAAATTTTTGCATTGGTAATACTTTCCATAGTTCCCACAAAAACAAATGGCACCTGCATCCCTTGAATGTGAAATGGTGTTACTATTTCATCATATTGCTTGAAAAAAAAAATANTTTGTAAAGAATTATGTATTGTAGTTCAGAATTTAGAACTATTTAATGCATTGCTTGCATGAATAAGGTACAAGGGTTTCAACATTGATTTCATGCATCTGTTTTATTGCATACACAAATTTCCTAAATTTGCAGTTTTAAATAACCAAACTCTTTTTAAAATAATTATTATTCAATTTAATATTTGTTAACTGATTTAGATGTGAATAAACCAATTGCTAATAATAGGCAATATTACTCTATACTATTTTCTGGCTAAAAAAAAAATAAAATTGTAATAGCACATTTTAATACTGACTGAGTATTAAAATTGTACTATTTGGCTAAAATTATCAATATGTTTTTTCCACCTAAAATTTAATTATGCTTTTAATTAATATCAACATTAGCATTTTTAACTAATCAATTAAAGACTCTTAACTATTACTTTAATGTTAAACTCAAATTGAAAGAGAAGTTCACAAAGACAAAAGACAAATAAAAACACTTGTAAATTCTGCCAGTAAGTCAAAATAAAATAATATTTTTTTATAAAAATTTATTATTGCCATTTTATTGTTTAATCTTTAAATGATAACCGACATATTATTTAAACTTTATATGATTATATAAGATCAATATTTCATTCATTCACACATGATTTTTAAAAATGATTTTAATATATCATCACAGACAGATAAATCATATGGTAATGGGATCTGTGTTGGTCCTTAACTTCTTGAAATAGTTTTAAAATAAACACAAATTTCTAAAATAATGGGTATTGTTTTTCTTTGTAAGTATACAAATGATTAATAATATATGATAAAATTTTACTATCTATCTGTTTTGTAATTCCATGAAGAAGGCATAGTTAATATGACTAGACATATATGAATAAAAATTGTTTTATTAGCATTATATGATTTATAATATTGATTCTAACTTTTCTAATTGATATTCTTTTCTATTTATTGTTTTATTTAAATAATAATTGTTTAATTACCTAGATATAACTATAATTAGAAAAGAATATTGATTAGAACATAAGCAATAAGTTATTATAAATCATACAATGTTAAATAAAACAATTTTTAATCATACATGTCTAATTTTATTAAATGTAATGCCTTCTGAACGGATTTACAATACAGACGACTAGACAAAATAACAGTCTCGTTGTCTATACAAAAAGAAACAGCAAATATAATACATAAAGTATATTTTAAAACAATTGTCCATATAAATTATTAATGAAATGGGATAAAAAATTTTAATGTTACTGTTAAAAGTAAGTGTCTTATTAATAATAGTATCTACATAACATTTACATATATTAAAGCTTTTGAAAGTTTTCAAAACATAATTAAAAGTTAAAATTTATTTCTGAAACTAATAATATAAATCAAGTATTTATTCAAAAAGAAAAATAGTGTAATTAAAATATAAGATTTATATTATAGACGGGCTAATGTGATATATAAATTTAAATTAATAAAATGAATAGCTATTCATATTAGGAGAAATTGCTGGACCATTAAAATGTACAATTAAAGAACATTTAACAATGATAAGATTTTAAAAAATATGGTGATGTATTTGCATACAAACACATGAATGTAAATATAAATGAGCAATTAGTTAAAAATGTTAAATATGTAAATGCACTAAAATATCAACAATATAATTGCTAATGATTGGTTCAATTTCTCACACATTGTTTTAAAAAAAACATATCAAGTTTGTTCCTTTTCTTGGGAATTTTTCCTTCTGAATTTTTACATTTTTTACAGAAATTTTAAAATGTATATTGTAAATTTGATTTAAAAAATTAATTTATTTTCAATTTAATAAACTTTTATTGTATAAGATTCAATTTCTCCCATTGCATGAGGGTTAAAATACAAAATTTTATATTGGTATAATAATGTTGTTATAACAGTTTCTCATGCATTTTCTAAACACAAGAGAAGTAAAATTGCATTAATATTGTGTAATAAATTTTTGAAAATATTTATACAAATTGAATATTGTTTTTATAATCAGAACTGAAAAATGTATACAAAAATTTTTCACCTTTACAAAATTCAATTATTAAATTATTTTTAGTATTGAATTATGTACTACACTCAAAAAACACCTATTGTATTTGCACATTAAGTTAGTCATTTCAGAAGCTTTGTGGCTTTGTGGAAAATGCCCAATGGCTGTTATTTGTAAGACAACATTAAAATACTACTTTTTGTAAGGGACACCAGGCAAATATTTGCATTTAGTAAGTGGTTTAAATTTATTTTGTTACATTTATTGCTTATTGAATATTTTATTTATTCTATGGTCTGATAACAGTTTGTAAACAGCTGACAAATATAATGAAGTTTGAATAAATGTCCTGATGCTCATTGTCTTTCGATGAGATGAAGATACTAGAAACCATTATTTTTCGATATTCTTTATACCTTGTAAGTTAATATTAGCATTTTCATGCTTTTCCAATACTTTATTGTTTCTAAGAAATAAAATAAATAATAAATCATAGATATTATAGTCAGAAATTAATTTTAATACATTTTTCGAATTAAAATCATATAACTGATAATCTAATCTTTACAATTTGTCAGGTTGAATATAAATACTTATCTAAAACATTAAAAACAAATATTTAGCAATCATGGAATAAACACACATTTGTTTATTCTATGTCCTACATATCTGAAATGAGAAATTAAAATTGTATTTACTGTATAAAATATGAATAAATTGAAGAATTCACACAATTTAAAATTTTATTAAAAAAATGAAATCATAGAAACAAAAACTTAACAAATTTTGATGGATTTTATACATTACTAACAATAATAATAGTATTTTCTAGAAGATTACAACAAATCCTTGCTTTAAATGCTGGTTTTTTTGTTGTTTGTAAAGAATTATGTATTGTAGTTCAGAATTTAGAACTATTTAATGCATTGCTTGCATGAATAAGGTACAAGGGTTTCAACATTGATTTCAGTACTATCACAAATATGCAGTAATCATTAGCCAATTTTTAGAAATTTTCAAACTTAAAAAATAATAATAATAATAATTTTATCAATATATACATAAACCTTATATAATATGTAATTAAATAATTTATTTATTAAAAAAAGTATAAAATTAACAAACATCAGTTAAACTAAATATAATATTTAAAATATTAATTATTATAGTGAAACAAGAGTTTAACATACACTACTGAAACTGGAGACTTCATCCACTTAAGTATCCATTAAAAATTGCTGTATATTATACAATACCAGCAATTTTTCAAAAAAATCAATAAAATATAATTTTGTTTAGTACAAAGCTAGTTTTTATCTGTCTTTATTAATATAATTCTCATTATTATATGGAAAATTATGCAATTATGGAAGTCTAGCATAACATTCAATGTAAATGAAATATGATTATGCATCATTTACAATAAGTACTGCTTATTTGATGCAATGCCAAAGTGACAATAATTCATACAATAATGCATGGCTATTAGATTTTTTAAAGAAATCAGCTATAAAAAGTCATCAATTTCTAGCATCAGTTCATTCTACTACAAGTGTATGATACGAACGTAGATCAAAAATAATCAAACTGGCCATCGTGGGGAAAAGGAAAACACCTAAAAAATGGAAAAATCAATACTAGTTCCTATCCATAAGAAAAACAGTGCAATGGAATGTAAAAATTATAGGAAAATTCCCCTTACTATTATTGGAAAGTTCTAATAATGATTCTGACAGAGACTAAAGCACCAATCAGAATTACATTTGGCAGAAGAACAAGCTGGGCTTAAGAAAGATAAACATTAAGCAGCAAATACTTACTCTATAACTTATTGTAGAAACAACAAGAAATAGCAAGAAGGTTTATGCATGCTTCAATGATTTTAGGAAAACATTTCATTGCATAGATCAGTAAATTACATGGACAGTCAGAATCACATAGTATAGACAAAAATTATTAATGTCTTACAAGATATGAAAATTCTGAAGCAGCAGTAAGAAATTTTGGAAATCTTGAAAAATGGTTTAAGATAAGGAGAGGCATAAACAAGGTTACTCTATCTCACCATTACTATTTATCATTCATCTAGAAAGAGCTATGGATTGCATCACAGGAGGTAATAAATAGTCTTAAATTGTAAAAGAATTATAAATTTGAGGATTTCAGATTATGTAATTCTTGAAATCCTAAAGACATGGTGATAACAATGGATAGCATTAGCAAAGAAGGTTTGCAATATGGACTACAAATTAATCTTGAGGAAAAAAATTTATGGTGTTTGGAAGGGATAATTATGCAAATGGCATAGAGCTAGTTGGGATGACAATTGAAAAAGTTAGAGTTCACACACTTGGGAAGTAAATTAACTGAAAATTTAAAATACATTGACGAGATAAAGACAGAATTGCAAGTGTTTTCAAATCTTGAAGTAATGGATACGATGTGGATATGTCAGAATATTACATGTCAGACAAAGCTGAAAGTCCTGGTAAAAAGTATTTTCAGCAGCATATTATATGGCTATGAATTGTGGTTGATACGTAAGGATAAAAAAAGAAAAAAGACTTGGTCTTTGAAAAAATACTACAGAAAGATACTGAGAATAAACTGGCAAGACAAAATATTCATAAAAGAATACAGAAGATATCTATATTCTTGCAGTAATGTCTTTTTCAGTTGTTTTCTTAGCAAACCAAAAAAGACATTACTGCAAAAATTAATTCATAGAAAGTTACATCTCATTGGATACATCTGCAGAATGAAGAAAGAGGGGGATCAAGATGGTTGCTTTCAGAATAAGGGAACGGACAAACAAAAAAGGAAAATCCTACAGAGAATAATTTGATGACTAAGAAATATTGTAATGCATGACTACACAAATTTATCCAAAGCACTCTTGCTGGAAGAGAATAGAAAAGCTTAGTTCACACTGAGTGCAATTCGCTGGCGAAAGCGAATCAT